ATTCTGACTCCTAGATTGTTTGCTAGCTATACGGAGTATCATTTGGTCTTCTGGTGAAGATTGTCTCCTACTTTCACTTAACCAACGTGAATTAATTTTAAATCCACAATAGAATTAAAATAAAATATGAAATTTCCTTTTGTGAACTTTATGGTTATTAGCTAGGCAGAGATGTTTATAGGAAACCAGCATACGTTGGATTTATTCTAAATTTTCCCTCAGTTAAAATCGACCTACGATTTTTTTCATCACATTATTTAACATGAGATACAAATCCACTCATTGATTTTATTTTTTGCTCTTTTACTAAATTCGTCTTATCTCTGGACACCTTCCAATAACTTCCCTCATCTACTGTTATCACGCGCTTTTATGTTTGTTGGCAGGATGCGTGAAAGTCTCGGCTTGACAGTAGTATCAGCACTTGGCCGGGGGGACGACGCTCTTACACATTCCGTTATTGATGCCCTTAACACTCTGCTACAGCCGATGCATGAGGATCCAGACATACGACAAGAACAGTTGAATAAGACAAGCATCCTTTCTAGTGACGTCTTCATGGCACGATTGGTCAACTTATTTGCACTCCATTCGGTTAGTCCTAAGAAAGCAGTCCATCTGCTAAAAAGTCCTATTACTTTTCCTTTTTTTTATCTCTCTCTTAGTTTATTCTAGGTTCAAGCCATTAACTTGAGCATAAGTTACTTGCTATTGATCTGTCTTTGGGCCTGTTTATAAGCTAACATCCAGAAAAATAGGAGCCTCCTCAGTGAAGTGAATACCGAGGCTTAACTGGGCCGATATGGCAGGTGTACGGGTCTACTGGCTCTTTGAGCTTCATGAAATGGTCGTTTCGATGTCAAATATGTTGTCATACTTTGTCAGTGCGGTCTGGTTGCAGTTCGAGAGTGCGCATATAAACATGCAGAATAGAAAATAGGTTCGTCATCACATAACGAGGCTAAACCGGTGTAGCGGGAAAGTTTTGGACTGATTGACTACATGTTCATTGGTTAAAGTTCTTAATAGAAAATTTGGAGCTCATTATCTTCATTTTACTCTCTAAATTTCTTTTTTAATAATTTTTTCTGCTTGCTTTTGTTTTTTTCATCCCTATCGGCGGCGTTGTCAGCTTCGCGGCACTGGAGCATTGGTTATCTCTGCTCTTTTAGACTTTTTCACCTTTTCCGTTTGCATGCCATACTCGGAGACGTCAGACGGCTCAGCTTTCGACTCCTTGTTAAAGCTGATCTCGAAACGGGGCCGTGCGCTCTTTAAGCTTTTTCAGGTGACTTCTGTTGTTTGTCATTTGGATCTTAAGGTGCTATTGGCACTGAGTTAAATTGTGAATGGCTAATTAAAGAGAAGACTTGACTGTGTCTGTAGATTAATATGAATTTTATGTTTAATTAATACACTAGAGTCTTCGGTGCACATACTATGGCAAAATTTAGCCATATAATCGAGCTAAGTCTATATTCTTACCGGCAATTTGACCTTTACTAAAAGATGTGTAATGATAAAAAAATTTTCACTTTATCAACATTCAATATAGCCCTTCATCTATTTTTCCTCTCCAGATACCAAATCGTTCATGCCTGTTTGCTAGTCTCATTTGTATACTTCCCTCCAACTATTGTAGGATTTTATAGTAACGAATCTCATATTATATTAAAGCTGTTTGACCTTTTTGCAACTTGGTCATAATGGCAGGACGACCTAGAGGAACGCATCTTATCCGGAGTCCATAGCTTGCATGATAATTTCCAGATTCGGACCGTGGACTTTGTACATTCCCAGGCGTTTCGCCGGCATCGTCAGTGAGTCTTGCCATTCTTAGCACCACACCATAATTCATCAAAGAGACAAGTGAAGCCGATCCTTTAACCAATTGTGGTATCTCCCCTTCTTTTCTGGACTATTCACCTATCCTATATCCTCCTATCACTCCTTCAATATCATAATTTCTTACTTGTTTATCTGAACCTATCTGAACCTATTTGAAACCTATTCACAAGCCTCGCTGATTCCTACATCCCTCCCCACTATGCCGAGCATGTTAATGCAAGGCTGTGGATTAATCTGCAATCCTTGCATATCTTCGGTAGTCCATCTATGAACTTAAATAGCTTACGCCTCTTAGTCTCGTAACTTTCCTCTAATTTCTGGATGGAGGTGTGATAAAGTATGTCATTAACTGTGTCCGAATGGCACTTCCTCATTAGGTTGCAGAACCCTGGAGTGATACCATAATGCTTGCAATTAATCAAAAAGGTCAAATGGCATGATTGACTTACAATTGTATTCTTCGTCCCGTTGTAATCGATGCATTGTTTGGCAATCTTCCATAGTTTAATCGAAGGAATGAAGAGCAAGATGCTGTGGCCTTTTGTATAGTTGCGGTCTTCTTTCGTTGTATAGAAGATTTCGATCTTGTTTTCCCAAGTTGGTCACATTGGCTCACTA